GGTATTGTTATCTGGAAGACAATTGTGTAATTTTGGCACCAGAGTTCAAACCTCCCAACCGTAGATAAAAGCTTGAACGCTCCGTTACATTGCCATTTTTATTGAATTAAAATAAAAAAATATTATTATTTTAGTATAAATTCTATATAAAAAACATTGTAAATTATGGTTTTCTCTAATTAAAAAAAAGAAAAAAAGAAAAGAAAGCAACGGTATTGTTATCTGGAAGACAATTGTGTAATTTTGGCACCAGAGTTCAAACCTCCCAACCGTAGATAAAAGCTTGAACGCTCCGTTACATTGCCACCGACCAGGGGTAAACCTGGAAAACTATAAATTACATGGTAAATTCCCAATTCGACCGTTGCAAATACAGTATTCAACTTAAAACATTTCTTTCCCGTTTGGCGAAAAGCGGCAACCCCTCACTGTTCTCTCAAAATCTCCCACATTTTCTCTTCCACTTTACACTTCCTCCGTTTGTATACAATTTTCATGGAAGATCAGGGCACGAATTCGTTGATGATGGAGCCGAAACCCCCACATCCACTTCACCAAATCGCAGAAACGCCGACTCACAAGTTGCTCCTCAGGCAATGGCCAAAGGAAGAAGAGTTGATCCTCAACAGGGTAGCCCTGAAGGAGACCCAGATTGATTCTGTACGTAAAGAAATCATGCAGCTCTATGTCTTCTTCTTCCTCTCCCACTCCATCGCGCTCCTTCTCCTCTTCAATTCCTCCTCCAACGGGGGCCTGCCACAGGTCATGGATCCCATCACTCTGTTCTCTCCTGTGCTCCATGGGGATAATCTGGGCTGCACGGTACAAGATGGATGTTGAAGAGCATTTGGAGAAGATGCTGGAGAGGAAGAAAGAGGATGGGAAGTTGTTGGGGAAGTGTGCGGAGGAGTTGAAGAAAAAGGGTGTAGAGTTTGATTTGTTGAAGAAGGTTGTTGGATGTTTCAGTGGCAAGAAAGGGGGTATGAGAGGACTTGGAGGAGAAGGAGAGACACCCGTGGAGTTACCTCATTTGGTGAGGTCAAACCCATTTTTTTCATTCATTTTCTGCCATTATATAGCAGAATCTCATAATACATAAAAGTAATTTTCTCACTAATATTTATCTAATACAAGAAAATCTAACATTTAATGCAAGATTACATTAAGAAGATTTTCTGCCATTTTGTGCGGCTCCATGTGGCTGTACTTGCTGCTACTTTGCAGCCTTTCATTTGCATTTCATTACAGTCTCATTTCATCAACATTTTGCAGCTTAGCTTGCTGCACTTTGCTGCCACCGTGCTTTGGTGCAGCCCTCCTTTCTTTTCCTTTTGCTGCCACTTGTGCAGCCTTCTTTTCGTTTGCTGCCTCTTGTGCAGCTTTCACACCACAACTCCAACAGAGGTGGATGCGCTGAGGAGGGCAAAGAGCATGAGAATGGAAGCGAAGGTTGTGAGGAAATGGTCTAGTAGGGATTTTGTGACATTATTCTTCTTCACTGTGTCATGTTTGGTTCTTGGATTGACAAGG